ACTGGAAGGAGTCGGAAACAATGGTAAGAATGAAGATCTGAAGAATTAACGCCCAGTCAGCCTGATCTCAGAAGTCTACGAGCTGTTTACAAAGCTCATCACTAACAGACTGTGAGAAAGTATAGATGAACAGCCGAACAAGGAAACAGTTAGAATTCCGAAGGAGCTACAGTACTAAGGATGACACTTTTACCTCACGTCAACTCTTTGACGCAAGCGAGGGAATTCCAGGTCAGTCTATGCCTCGCCTTTTTAACTAGAGAAGGCGTTCGACGTTGTCCAGCACGACGCAGTGTGGAGGGTGTACTGACAGAACAGGACATTAACCTGCTAAAGGAAAAAAAAAGTCTGACCGGTTCAAAAATGTCACGCTTTCTGACACCGAGACACCATCTGTCCAAACTCTTTACAATCTGTTTGAAACTAATGTTTCTGGCGATAAATTAACTGAGTGAATTAACTAAGCCACCGAAGTCTCCCTGGTGATGTGGTGCAGTTTGTGGAAACCACCACTTAGCCATAACGCATACTGTAAGAGCTCAGCAGCAAAAGTACTGTGGTCTGACGACGAATCAGCGAGTTAGAGAGGAAAGCACCGCGATCGGATGCTCTGCTGAAGGTCCACTAATACTGAACTGCGGAAACATCGAAGAAGTCGATAATCCATTTGCCTGGGCCATGAGATCAACATGACCGAGAGGGCTTTAGAAGTCCGATTGGCGCATGTTACACCCCGTTAAAAACGTCCTTCTCGGCAATGTCAGGAAAGAAACCCGTACCTGCCTCTTTAACTCGACCGGCATGTCAGCAATGTTGAGGTCTACGACGACTCAGCGCGGCCGTTTCGGCGTCAAACGAGAGTCACGGTCACGTGCTGTTTTCTGGGCGAGTTTGAGTCTCTATGATTGGACAATGATAATCGCTATCAAACGTTACATTCAACCCACCGTATTACATATCAATGAAATGAGAACAATCCGATTCTACCTGTTAAATTTATGAAGTTTATTATATTGTTCAATTTTGCAGGTGGGCTAAGTTATACGACGTGCGAGAACACTTTTAATCATCGTTTCCTTCCAAAGCTCAGTTTTAACTGATAATAGCGTTGCCAAATTATTTCATGAAGTTGAAGTTTGCGAATATTATTTAATTAAAGGTCTAAGTTTTCTCTTAGAACAACGAACTGAGGCTAAATGAAACTTTATTTACGTAGTAAAATTTTAAATGCAATAAATCGTCATTGCGCCATTTCGTAATTGTTCGCTAGCCCACGAAAGTAAGTTATAATATGCTTATATATGATAGTCACTCACAGATGATATTATTCTTGTGTCTGTGTTATAATATTTTCTCA